CTCAGGTGATCTCCGATTTCAAGGCTCTGCGAGGATTCTGTGGTAGGGATTTGTGACCTAAAAGTCAAATATAGAGGAAAAAAATGGACAAAATTAATACTGTTATTTTTGAAAAAAAAAATAAAAAAAATAAAATAAAATAATAATAATAATAATTAATAATAAATAACAAAGTGGTCTTAACAAACACAATTTATTTAAAACACAGAAATTATAACAACATTACAGTTATAGGGATAGTTCACCCAAAAATTATGTCATATTTACTCATCATCATGGTGTTACAAACCTGTATGAGGAGATATATGGCAGAATGACTACTTCCTTGGATAGAAGAATAATGCAATGAAAGTGAATGGAGACTGAGGATGTCTTTCTGCTTAACATCTCTTTTTGTATTCCACAGAAGAAAGTCATACAGGTTTGGAAAAATTATGAAAATGAATAAATTATGATAGTTTTTATTCTATCTATCTATAAAAACACAAAGTATATGTAATAAATAATAACTTCACAGTACATCTCTCTTGATCCAATGTGACTCCTGTCATTTAAAAAAAATAAAATGTGCTCAATGCTCATTTATATTTTATAGAAATTTACATTACAATCGTTACAATGCTGTTCATAATATAGTAAGATGTTTAAGCTTAGATTCTGTTTTTAAGCACAAACGTGTCCTTAAAAAGTATAAGTCACATAAGGAAAATTGGCTTTAACAATTCCCACTAAGCATTTCATGAACATTATCAATCTAAGCACAAGCTTTGCAGCACTTCGAATGATGCAAATTTATACGTTTTAAGTGTAATTCATGAAGGGTGTTGATGAGTTATGAGACTCAATACACCTGATATCTTAAGAACTTGCTGAGCGCTAATTTCTCATTTATATTATTAAAGAGCCACATTCAACCAAAAAATGGGAGCTTCTTGAGCATTTGAACCAAAACTAATCGAAACGAAACCAGATAGGACGTTTTACATAAGCGGAAGATGCTAAAATGATGCTCATAAGCTCTGGTGATAACTCACCATCTTCAGGCCAGTGTGTAACGCAAGGCCGATGCGGTTAGATAGCTGTAAAGAAAAACACATCAAGCATAAATGCCTGTCATTTGCAGTTACAATAAAATTAAGCGATATGAGAAACCATACAAGGTTTAACAACACGCTTCTCTTAACTAGCTGACTGAAAGAAGTTTAAGTTAATTGTCATAATACGCTCTCATGCTGATAATGTCAACACACCAAGCTAACTCGGGCTAACGTAGCCAGTTAACTTTAGCTCATGAAAACGCTGGCTAAGTTAGTTTGCTAACGATCTCATGGAATAGAAACAAAATGTCAAATTAACTCACCTTTTTTGCACAAAAGACGCAATTTGTTCGCTGGCGTGAGTGAAATCCGAAAAAGTTTAAGTGCAAATGTATATTGAACAAGCCTCGTGCTAACTAGCTAGCCCAGCACTGCTAAAAAATGATCAAGTTTGAGCTGCTGGTCAGCTAGCTGGCTGTATTGCTAAGCAGGCAGTGCGTCTGCCAGTATTCAAATTACTATTCATTCCTCTCCGCCTAGCTGTACCCCGTTGATGCTAAACGTATTGATGAATCATATGGTATCTATTTATTCATACGGGTTTTGCAACTGCTCTTGTTGCAGGTATATGAATATTTCTCTGCCTGCTGTCCCAAGCAGTCTCTCGCGATATAGTGGGAGAGGGTGTAGGTTGGGGGACAGGGAGTGTTGGAGAAGGGGGATTTTCAATGGGAGAAAAAAAAACATCTGAGAAAGAGGGATGTGCACTTTTTGGAGAAGCCACATTGGACAGTTGTGTAAAAAAGTGAAACAAGGATGGATGTTGCTCTGATGGCTGAGTCATATATGGAGGCTGTAATACACAGAACTCCAGATTGCTTCTTGATTATTCCAGTAAGAGAAGCTGTGCTCACTGAAAGCTATTCAGAGGACTGAGAAAATTAGAAATGCTATGTAAAATTAAAAATGTTTAACCCATAATATTTTCATAATGTAATTTTGTGTATCTGAGTAGCTACATAATTTGTAGAAGATCTGATTTAATTTGACTCCAAAATCTCCTAACTGTAACTGTCCTGCAACAGACCTTTTTTTTTTTTTTTACCCCTATGGTGCCCCCACTCCCCCTTTTGCGTCCTGTATCAGAGCGTGTGTTTCTGTGTACCCATGGAAAATTTGCAGGGAAACGTCAATAGAATATTCTGTTTATTTTTGTTTACATCAAAGAGGTAAGGAATTTGAGCTCTAAAGGGCAATAAAGCACAAATAAACATTCATTAGACTTAAGTACGCCAACTAGGTTTAAAGTACACTTTCTTCTCCTCACACAGTAAACATTGCAGTCTCCCAGCAGAGTAAAAGAAAAAAAAAAGCTTCTATTTTCCCACAGAATACTATATTCTTTAGCTTATGATGATGAGCTGGCTGTGACTTTAATGTGATGTGCATTCAATGTTAAATATAAAGATAAAAGAATGTTTCTACTATAGCATAAGACTCATTAATGACTGATTTTGATCATGATCTAAGCCATTGCATCTTTTTTCATATTTATGAGAACATCTATAACATTTTCTTTAAATATTTAAATGTATTGTTTCAGATGAGAAGAATACCTATGTAAATGCATCCTTAAATACTATAATTACATTGGTAATTTTTTTTAACCCGATTATGATGATGATGATGATTATTATTATTTACAAACCACTTTTGATCATTTTGGGAAATGTGTAGTTGGCTGCTTACAAGCTGTAAATGTGCCTTTCACTTAAAATGACCAGATCAAGAGAGATCCAGGACTGTCAAGAACGGTGAAAAAGCATTTACATGCAACAAATGAAATGAGCACAGCTGTTATAAATCATCTTGGGTAGAACATTTATCTACTTGAAACTTATGAGTATTATTTGCAGTTAAAAATCAATAGATTTGTTTTAACTCTGGTGTAGTGCTGCATACCAGAGTAAATCGTACCCCCGTGGCAATTAAAACCATCATATTTCTTTAAGAAACTGAATTGAAAGGTTGTTGTCTGTAACATTCTTGTTAAATACAGCAGGATATGCCATTAACTGGTTGAAAGTTTTAAAACTGTATAAATATTTATCACACCATTTGAAATAGGGCTATCGAAAACCTTTGCAAGATTTACAAGGCAGTTATCACTAATATAAAGCTGGCTATGCATGCAATTAGAAGTTGTGAAATTACAAGAAATCATATTTTCTAATGAATAAATGATCTCTTGCGGTTTCAGGTGTAGCCTAAGTGACAAAAAAAAACATTGTCTCTCGTTCGTGTGCATTTAGTGCCCTCTATTGACTACGGCTTTAAAAAACAAGATATTTCACATTTAAGAATAAGTATGCAAACAGTAGCTTTCATGAAAACATTTGATCTCAATTTATTTTTCTTGTAATCACGTTTGACACACGTCAGTGTTTCACAGGGAATATGATTGAATGTCAGTCATTCCAGTCATATGCTCTGGATGATATGATATGTAAAGTAATTGTACCGTGAAAATTAATTATGCTGGAAAATCCAAAAAAATCACAGACATCAAATATTTGGCCTATACAATATTTTATTTAATTACTGTAAAAATAATTTTTAAAAAATGTACGATTGATGACTGAATGTCAGTGATGATGATATATAGGCTACATGCAGCCTACGAATAGGAGTGTTAAACAAGTTTTTCATTTTTATGACTAGAATCTTAGCGACGTCTCCAGAAAGTGCATGAAGGTTCCTATAAGCTCCCAGCAATGGGCGGAACTTTCTGTGTTTTCATCCTTTCATTGGTCAGTTCAGCACGAGCTTTCGAGAATTGTTTTAGAACATGTAAGAATGAGACAGACTTCTGTATATAAACTGTAGCATTTGGACCAATCAGACACACCATTTTTCATTAGATTGCTGTAGACACCGTTCTAAAACAGCGCTGATGGTTTCACTCAGGTGGTTAACTGACTCCTTTCATAGCTTCATTCTCTGGTTTTCCTGATGGTTTCATCCACCAAGTCTCATTTGCCCTTTCCCCTGTATGAGTGATTGTTTGTTTGTTTGTTAGACTAGTTTGTGTTAGTGTTTAGTTAATAAAACTCTTGTGCACAAATTACATGAATTTCTGATTCTGCCTTGCAAATTAATGTCCCTTTACGAGTTTGATCCTTGCTACATGCTCTAATGCATTAATACTGTATGAAAGTATTTTCTGTGGCCACGAAAATATCCTTTCCTAGAGTTGATATGAACTTACACTAAATGTTCGCTAGACGGACAGATTAGTTGAGGGCAATTTAATTCTGCTACAGTTACTACTGGCAGCTGATATAAATAATTGTAATTAATCATAATTCATTGTAATTATTTATATACATTTCCCTTTTGAGCTAATTTGCTACAAAACAGCAGCGCAGGTTGGGAGCATCAGTGTTTCCGCAGGACCAACTACAAATACTGTGAAGAAAAATAAAGTGACAACTTTTTCTGAGGAAATAAAAATCAAACCTGTTGAAGAAGCTACGGTGCTTCTACTACTACAGCATTTTAAGGTAAGCATATTTTTATTATTCTTGTTTAGTTTCTCTTTATTATTTCACTAACTATTAAGTGTGTATCTGCTGTTTGTGTCTTAAAGATTAATTAAATCTGTATCCAACACCAATACTGGTTCTCTAAGTCTTTGCGAACACTATTAACATCAATTAGTACTCTAAAAAATAATTAACAGTTTTATTTGTGTGTACAGGTATTTAATTAGTCAGTCTCTGTCTAGAACCTTCCTTAGACCTTCCTGTTTCATATTTTAATTTACTAATTTCATATAATTTCATGAATTTCATATTTTTTGCCTACTGCTTTTTTGAACAATGTATAAATGTTTTATTTAATAATAAATATTTACATGGTTTCTAATTTCGTATAGTTAGCTGTTAACTACCTGTAAAAAAGATGTCATCTGCAAAAGGAGTTGCTATTGGAATTGACCTGGGCACCACCTACTCCTGTGTGGGGGTGTTTCAGCATGGAAAAGTGGAGATCATCGCCAATGACCAGGGGAACAGAACAACACCCAGCTATGTTGCCTTTACAGACACTGAGAGGCTCATTGGAGATGCAGCTAAAAACCAGGTGGCCATGAACCCCAACAACACCGTGTTTGATGCTAAGAGGCTGATTGGCAGAAAGTTTGATGACCCAGTTGTGCAGTCTGACATGAAGCACTGGTCCTTCCGAGTCGTCAGTGATGGAGTAAAGCCTAAGGTACAGGTTGAGTACAAAGGAGAGACCAAATCATTTTACCCCGAGGAAATCTCTTCCATGGTCCTTGTGAAGATGAAGGAGATTGCAGAGGCTTACCTGGGACATAAGGTGACGAATGCTGTTATTACAGTTCCTGCGTATTTTAACGATTCCCAAAGGCAAGCCACTAAAGACACTGGAGTAATCGCTGGACTGAATGTCCTCAGAATCATCAACGAGCCCACAGCTGCAGCCATTGCCTATGGCCTTGACAAAGGCAAAGCTTCAGAGCGCAACGTCCTGATCTTTGACCTGGGAGGAGGCACCTTTGATGTGTCCATCCTGACCATTGAAGATGGCATCTTTGAGGTGAAGGCCACAGCTGGAGACACTCATCTGGGTGGAGAGGACTTTGACAACCGCATGGTGAATCACTTTGTTGAAGAATTCAAGAGAAAACACAAGAAGGACATCAGTCAGAACAAGAAGGCCCTGAGGAGGCTGCGTACAGCATGTGAGCGAGCCAAGAGGACACTCTCGTCCAGCTCTCAGGCCAGCATTGAGATTGACTCACTGTACGAGGGCATTGACTTCTACACGTCCATCACCAGAGCGCGCTTTAAAGAGCTGTGCTCAGACCTCTTCAGAGGAACACTTGATCCTGTGGAAAAAGCCCTGAGAGACGCCAAGATGGAAAAGTCTCAGATTCATGACATTGTGTTGGTTGGTGGATCAACAAGAATTCCAAGGATCCAGAAGCTTCTGCAGGATTTTTTCAATGGCAAAGAACTTAACAAGAGCATCAATCCAGATGAGGCAGTGACTTATGGTGCTGCGGTCCAAGCCGCCATCCTCATGGGAGACACATCTGGAAGTGTCCAAGACTTGTTGCTTCTGGATGTTGCACCACTATCCCTGGGCATCGAGACGGCAGGCGGAGTCATGATGCCACTGATCAAACGCAACACCACCATCCCCACCAAACAGACCCAGACCTTCACCACCCAGTATACTCAGACAGCCAGCCCGGTGTCCTGATCCAGGTCTATGAGGGAGAGAGGGCAATGACAAAAGACAACAACCTGCTGGGTAAATTTGAGCTGACAGGAATCCCACCTGCACCACTTGGAGTCCCGCAGATTGAAGTGACCTTTGACATCGATGTCAACGGAATCCTAAATGTGTCCGCGGTGGACAAAAGCACTGGAAAAGAGAACAAGATCACCATCACCAATGACAAGGGCAGACTGAGTAAAGAGGAGATTGAGAGGATGGTGCAGGACGCAGACAAATACAAATCTGAAGATGATCTGCAAAGAGAGAAGATTGCTGCCAAAAACTCTCTGGAGTCTTACACCTTCAACTTGAAGAACAGTGTGGAAGATGAGAACCTGAAAGGCAAGATCAGTGAGGATGACAAGAAGAAAGTTATTAAGAAATGTAACAAGGCCATCAGCTGGCTAGAGAACAACCAGCTGGCTGATAAGGAGGAGTATGAACATCAGCTGAAGGAGCTGGAGAAAGTCTGCAACCCAATCATCACCAAGCTATACCAGGGAGGGATGCCAGCTGGAGGCTGTGGAGCTCAGACACATGGCAGCTCAAAGGCCTGTGCTCAGGGACTACTGCTGATTTTCTGGTGCATTGTATGCTGCATTCAATTTTTTTTTTTTGAAGAATTCAAAAGAGTTCAAAGATTGCAGTTGAGCATTTAAATTTACATTTGAAAGATTGCATATAAAATGTATTTTTGTTAGGTATATCTGTTCTGCTACATGTTATATGAAATGCTAATGTATGCGTGTATAAGACTGCTAATGGTATTTAATGTGTTATCTGCACGTTAAGAAATAAATAGATATTGTTCAGCATGCTGACTGTTGAAATGTGGAGTTTTCTGTGTGTGTATTCCAGTTGTAGGCATTAATGTTGTGCCATATTCCATATGAAAGTTTTTTTTCAAGGATCTGAACATTCTCAATAAACTATTAAAAATATAAACAAAATGTTACAAAAGACTGTTTTTTTTAGATGTTTCTTACTTAATGTTCTCAAATGTGAATGCATGCCTAAAATTTATTTACTCTAAGTTGGCCTACGCTAACTCAACATAGGTTTACTTGATTATTACTTAAGTAAAATGCATAAAGGCTGTATCTACAGTAACTAATGGATTACATAACACGAAGATAAAAGAATTTTACAGATGCCAAAGTGTGGTTACAGCAGTCTGGGTTAAAGATACAGTAATAAAAACAAACCAAATAGAAACTAATAAAATGAACTAAATACAGTACTAGTAAGTAGTTAAACGGACTCAGCTTGTTTTTATTCATCTTAAAGGGACAGTCTACCCAAAAAATAAAAACTCAATGATCATTTACTCATCCTCATGTCATTCCAAACCTGTATGACTTTCTTTTTTTGTGGAACCTAACCAGATATTTTGAGAAATTTCTATGTTTTTGGGAGTCACCAAAACGGTTTGGTTACCAACATTCAGGGTTTAAATTGAGCCGAGGCCGTCCGGGGCTGTGCCCCGTCACATAGACTGTATATTATGCATCTATTGACGGAATAAGGTTGCTCTGCTGAGGCGAGGCTCACGCAGCCTCTCCAGGAGAAATCAAAACGCGCAACACTAAGAAACTCAGCATCATGAGGTAAAAATTCAAAATGGAAAGTTTTTATATTTAAAATGCAGTTAGTTAGGCAACATCAAACAACGTTTTCACCATTAGACTGTTTAATAGTTCTATAAAAAGTTCAATAAGCAAATACAATAATATTAGGTCACTTACATTTTAGGCGGAAACACAACGCATCTCACAGCAACCAGCCGATTCATTGCTAATTGATTCCGTGTTTTGAACGAATCGGTTGAATCAAAGTTTCATTAGTCCACGCATAAACATTTGATGAATCTGCCGTTTGAACAAATCGTTTGAATGAACGACTCAGTGACTCACTCATTAAACACTACTGGCACTGGCGTTTTAATTTCGTTGAAAAGTATCATTTCCACCATCATTTCTTGTTTGTAGGCTATATTCAAAAATATTTAACCCATTTGTGCCCAAATGTTTCCGAATGGTTTCATGCATATAGTCATGTTAATAGTGTCCTATGTGAACATGTTCTGCATTTATTTTCCCCAGGTTTTTTTCTTTTTTTCTTGAAAATCGTATTTGAATGTGCGGCAACTATAGTTGCCGGTGGGTAAATATGTTGTATGCACCACTTCAATGTCAAATGTAAATATGGGGAGGGAAGAAAATATTACATCTGTATAATAAAAAAGGTATACCTGAAAGAAAATTAAGAAATTTTAGGCCCATAGTATTCAATGGTTGACGGTAGTAGGTGATTTCATATAATAATGTAAATGTAAACTCATTACTTGTCTGAATTTCAACATTTTAATGGAATCATAAGCTACTAGTCATAAAAAGTATTAGGGTACATGACCAATTAGAATGAAACGCATCCAAACTGGATAAAGGGGCCTCAATATTTTGCCCCTTACAAGACATAATGTCATAAAAGGGAGAAAAAGATCATCTACAGCAATTAATCCCATGCGTTAGCTCTTTATCTTTCCATTCTTACTTTTGCTTGACTGACTGAAGTTTGTAAACTGCTGCTGCTGTCACTTGAAAACGGGAAATTCCCACCCCATTTCCCCATGATATGTACTTACAAGTCATTTGCCCACCGGCAACTTGGGGCTTGGACTTTTGACTAAGTATACAAAAAACTCTATGATCTATGATCACTCTATTGTTAGGATGATTCTAGAGACCTTCATGATTATGTAGATATATATATATTTCAACAAAAAATACTTATTAGTAACATGAAAATTAAATTTCTTTGGGAGGGTTTGCCTTCGCCAGGCTTCCTGGAAGTAGTGGTAGGAACTTGACAGCCTCATGTGACAGGAAGGAAGTGAATACCTTTTTTTTTTTTTTTCTTGAAATCCTTTATTTGGTTGTTTGCTTGCATGTCATTGAGAAATAAAACATGGATAACATCTAGAAAAATACTTACAAAAGGAAAATGACAACTATAAACTGCGGCAACTATAGTTGCCGGTGGGCTTAAATGGGTTAAAAGAATCTCATAATATTATTTAATGCAGTTGTATTTTTCAGTGTAAATGATTTAATTTGATAACGTATAGATAATGACATTATTATAATTGAATTTATAGATCAAATGTAAGAATTTGAAATGAAAGTATTATTGAGATTAGTGGGAAAATTCCCTCTATAAAGATTTTCAAAAAAATGTCCTTGGATAAAATTTTCATTTTTGGCCAAACTACCCATTTAAGAGTTTATTCGGAGATTATATACAATAGTTAGATAAGTTATAAAAGCAGTATTACAAAAACCTTTCATAAAAAAAAAAAAAACACCTAAAATTTCATGGTGAAAAAAGTAGAGGGCGCTGCTCAAACACACCTTTCAGCTGTGCTGTCATTCTGGATTGCATGAAGAATAGGACACAGGAGAAGGAAGTTCAACACTCTTCGTCATATTCTGAGTTTGCATTTCACATTTTTATTCATTTTGAAGAATAGTGAATCAGCTTTTGTGCAAGTGAGTAAATGCATGTTCACATTTAGTCTAGAACTACAGTAACCATCATGTTTACACAGTGCACAGAAAACCTCTGCACTTACTCCAGATTTCTCTCAACATGGGGACAGGAGAGCTGTCAGTCAATAAATGGGAAAACAAAGTAAATGGCATTACTTATTTTAAAAAGTAACTAAGCTATTTTCTTGTAAATGCAAAAAGTAATGCGTTAGTTACCTTACTAGCAGAGCTGGGTAGATTACTTACAATCTGTAGTCCATTACTCATTCCAAATTACATGACAAAAATTGTAGTTAGTAACGTAATCCATTGCAGACTACTTTTTGATTATTTTTAGATTACTCTGACCAAATTAATTTATCACATTGGTTTAAATAGGACAATCTTGTACCATATTGATGTAAAATAGAGTAAGAGTAAGAAAATATATTCAATTGTTATTAACAACATGAAGTGCATTAAACATTATATTATGTCGAGGATTCCCAAACTGGGGTTCGTAAAGGAACTGCAGGGGATTCATGAGTTTAATGAAAAGCTAATAATTAAATCATAATAATGTAAAATTAAAATAAATTGTTTAAAAATATCATCAATTAAAATAAAACACTTACTAAAAAAATGAAATGTGTTTACATGCATGTCATGTGACCATTAACCAACGCCAGAGAACTGTGAACATGCAAATGTGATAATTATCAAAATATTTATTTTAAAATCTCAGGGTACTTCAAGTAAATATAGGTAAACGAGGTTCAGATAACAGGAAAGTTTGGGAATCCCTGCATTACATGTGTGAATGTCCACAAAACTGGAAGACTTTCTGAATGAATGCGGTACAATATTTTAGAAAGGAACATTTAAAAGATGAAAAAGAAGAATTAGGGAGAATCAATAAATTATGAATAATTTATTGCTGTTGTGTGAATAATATGTAATCATGTAGCCTAATCAATAAAAAAGTAACTGTAGTCTGATTATGAGTATTTTAAAATGTAATTTAATCTAATTACAAGTACTTAATTTTTGGAATCTGGAAACAGTTACTACCCAGCTCTGCTTAGTTACTTAAAAAAAGTAATCTGATTGTGCTATCTATCTATCTATCTATCTATCTATCTATCTACCTATGGGATAAAGATATGAATGGGGCATTTGTCAGGTTTGCAGACCATCCTAAACCAGCCAAGAACAAAAAAATGTAAACTGTTACTTTTTCAGCATGGTAGAACAAAATTGAAAAGAAAAGAAAAGACTGAGCAGGGCGAGATTATTATAAGGAAACAGAAGAATACTCTCTACTGTTTAAATTATGTCAAAAAAGATTGATAGTCCCACGACTATCCCACGAAATGCCCTTCCCATCATGGTCTCTCTTCTCAAACCCCTGCGTGCCCTCCTCACGCCCCTCTCCACTGATGACGCGCGTGGCTCATTTCCGGCGACCGCGGTCTGTTGTTGAATGTACCGTTCTGTCCAGATTCGGGATGGTACTCATCAAGCAATAGTGAGTGGCTTTTACTGTATACATTAACTGGATTCAGTTACGCTATATTTTATAGTCAGCGGCTGCCGTATTTTAAACAATTTGCCATATGGCATAATAAACTGATCATTTTAAGCCCGTGATTTGGATGTGCAGGACGCGCGCTAGCCGCTTAGCCTGCCTGATACAGCATTATATAGTGTTTTATAGACCTCGTCCCCACCAACGCCGTTATTCATCAAAGCATGATAGGATGCGTATTTAATAAGAGTAATATATTGAGTTCAGACTGCTGGGTGTTAAAATGCCGGTTTATCGCAAAATAAAGCGGGGCCAGCTAACGACACGCCCGTTATACAGGCGCGGCGTGAGGCAGTTGTCCATGATATGAGAGAATAAATGAGTCTGAGCTGTATTTAACCTCTGCTCACTTCTCTTTTCAGCCAGGTGCTGTTGCCATGTTCAGTAGAAGAGGTAAGAGTACCTGCTTTTTCAGTAACCGGCTGCTGTGTCTTCTGTGATCAATGGGTATCTGTGTTTCTGGTTAAGCAAATATTTAGACAGCTTCCTTCACTTTAATGGAGTCAGCAGCACCTCTTATGTATTACATTGTTTGTCTCTATTGTGCTGTGAACTGTCGGACAGTTGCCACTACTAATTTATGTAACACCCCCTCGTCCCCCTCTCAGTACCAGGTTGGCCAACTGTACTCGGTTGCAGAGGCCAGTAAAAACAACACAGGGGGAGGAGAAGGGATTGAGGTCCTCCGAAATGAACCTTACGAGAAGGACGGAGAGAAGGGCCAGTACACCCACAAGATCTACCACATACACAGGTGAGAGCATGTGTAAAGGCTTTAATGATGTTGACAGCCATGCTGGTTTCACTTTATCACAGAATTGTTGTTGAAACCTCTAGCAGAATCATCTACTGTTTAGCAGTTACACTTACTATTGTAGTTATATGTAGTGACATATACACTGCTGTTAACTCAGGGT